TCGTTAGTTTTAATGTCCGTACATGCACTGTACGTGTCGGTTAGAAGAAAGAGAATTTAAAAAAGAAGGTAAATTGTCTTTAAAGCGTATTACAAAACAAGAGCTTATTCAAGAGAACGAATAGGAAACTAGAACTTCTGCTAGCACAACTCCTTCAATTTACATGTATAAAGGTATAAATAGAAAGCAAAATGTTGCTGTAACAATCGGAATCTGCAAAGGAGGCAGCACCTAACATTCATTCATTTTCAAAAGGTTGACGGCTAAGCAAACTTTAATAAAGACACCTGCGTAACACTAAACTTAATATCGTTGCCAAATTCTAATAAAGAATCATCGCCTGTTAACTTATTTGAAGTAAATGACAAGTAAGAAAATCAAATTCGGTCCGAACCGAGTCTTTTACATCCATCACAGATCAGAAAAAGGAAGTAAAAGAACAAAATTTTCATGCTCTATAATATGGCATAGTATGTAGTATAGGCATGTGGGCGCTATAGTTTAGGTCAATTCGAAATTCTTTTGCAAATTTGTAGGCCTAACGGGACAATGTTCAACACAAACACTATAAAGTTGCGCCAACAGATTGACGGACAGATGAATGAATTTGTAACTGGCCAAGAATTTGCATTCTTTATGGGATTCTTGAAGCTTGGTGCTGCGCGTTACAAAGGTATTGAAAAAAACTATAAAGTTTGATACAATATAATATTGGGTAGGCGTGGTCAATTTTTTCCATTTTTTTGTACGCATACTACAGCATTGCCCATAGAATAAGTGTTCAATTTTTTTATACATTTATTCACTGTAGAAAAACAAAGACGTTCTCAGTTTACGTGGTGCTATGGGTGTGTTCTTTAACTGATTTGGTCCATTTTCAATACCACTCTGCGTCGGAGAAACCAGCTGCGCCCGCTCCCTACTATAGAGCATTAAAAATTTTGTTCTTTTACTTCTTATGCCTTTTTTAGGATAACGGTGACGGGTATAAAAGATTCCGTCCCGACCAAATTTAACTTTCTTCCTTGTTAAAAATTCAATTTGATAAAAGAACAATCCAATTTTACAATGCTTTCATGTCCCTTATAGTTAACGCAGTATAAGAGAAATCAAGAACGTTATGAAACCTAGAACTTTGAAAAAGGAAAAAAATTAGATCAGACGGAGAAAGCATTCATTTCAAGAGATTTTCAGAAAAACAACTCACGGTCCATAGAGAAGTGTTGTTGCGAAACTAGATTTGAGTATTTATTAAGACTTTCCATAACTTTGCGAGATCGAAATATGTTGTCTTTTTTTTTATTATTATTATTATTATTTTTATGACCAATCATCCGCAGGGTGTACCCTATGCCAGTGTCACGGTGATCGTCAGAAATAGGTGGGCTGGCAGGTCGGTAAGCATTATAGCTTTATCGACAGAAATGGACATAGTACCAACTGGACATACTCACACGTGCATAATTAACACACAAAAGATCTTCCAAATAGTGGACATTTACGATTCGTCTGTAATTCGTTTCAAATTGCAAATGAAAAAAGGACTTCTTCTAAGTGAAGTTTAACGGCGGCCAATATTTGTTATATTCTATCGTATATACAAATCTGTAGATTCGAAAATGACACAGAAATGCGGATATGGGCACTCGCTTGAACAGAACACACTTAATAATGCCAAACAATTTTAAAGCCCTATACAAATTGCAATCACTTGCAATGGTTCCACAAAAGCCTTTTCAATTTGTTTCATGCTCGCAACCGAAAGATACTTTGACATGAGCATAAACGTATCGAATATTTGCCACAAATATCGAGACTACTATTGTAGTAGGGATGTGTGCAAGCACTTCAATAGACCAACAAAAGCAATAGTTAGTCTCCTTTTTTTTTGGAAAAATTGATGCCAATTGCTTTGCCATCGAAGAATTTTTTTTTACTTCCGTTGTTTTTTGTTTTTTTTTTTCACTTTTATGTTTTAGCTTTTGCGTGTTTACGTGGCTGTGTGTGTGTGTGTGTATGTGTGTGTGTATATGTTTTTCTTTTATTATTTCTTGCAACAATCAAACGCGATTTATGCTATTAATTGTAAATTGTTGACGTCGTTGTTGTCGGTTTGCAAGTGATTTTGCGAAAGAAACAAATTGAACTATTAAATAAAACCAAAAGGAATCAAACCCGAAGACATATAAATTGTACCAAAGGCATATAAAAAACAGTTTGAACACATGTCTGTGTTATTAGCATTACAGTGGTCAATAAATAACAGAAGTAATGCTAAAGTGAGTCACAAACGGAGAGATTCTTTGAATGCCGAATAGAATAGAGCATTAAAGGACCGCATGTCAATACTCGAGCCGTTCAGTAAAAATTAGAATTCGTTAGACACCTCTAGGAAGCAAATAGCCTTGGTTGGTTGGTTTCTTCACTATGAAATTCGTTCTATTCTTAAATATTATTTTCTGGAAGTACAGACGCCAAAAGACACTAGCATAAGGTTCGATAAACGTGAACGTGGGAAATGTGTTTCTTTAAATAAAATGATTAGACAGTGAATGAATAAGTGTAAGTGAATATTCGATGTGATATGAGAACTCTCCCCTTAATATTTTGCACTTTATGTAAGGTGGGCGTCGCATTCGCTCAAATCCGAACACAATGATAATGCTGTCATCTTTTCAATGAAAAATGTATTTCTGTTTTCTTAATGTGATCGATCACTCAGGTTATGTTCACTATTCACGTAACATGGTGACGCTCAGAAAGTAGTGAGGAGCGGCCGGGCGCATGCTTAATCGATAAAGTCAAATGATATAAATTCGTTGATCGTAAGATCGTTATGTCCGATTTAAATATGGAATCACATGCCTGAATCACATGAAGAATCGAAAAGATGGACTTTACCTGCTGGAAGTGCATCGACGGGCAAGCAAAGACGGGAACATCAGCGGTATAATTTACTCCAATGTTACCTACAACGTAATCTCTTCACCGTGTATAGAATAATACAAGCAGCATATTATTTAACGTTATTAAGTTGATTAAATAGCAAAATAAAAAAGAAATGGCGTTGATAAAATTGTATGTATTTATGTATTCATGTATGCGCGCATGAACGTAGATTTGTAAATATATGTGACTACCACAGCAATCATTATCAATATGGAAACCTGAAAAGACAAGTGCCTGTTCGACTCTTAGTGTCGAATAGGCAACAGAGGGCTATTTTGGTCTGCTCGAAAAATTGCAAAATCGTTGCATACATTGTCTTGAACTAAAATAAGATTATGTTGAAAAAAAAAAAATTCAGTATAGCAGAAAAAAAGGTGGATTTCTTCATTAGTTACCCTATTTATTGGGTCATACCTGTATCTATCTATATATTCGACTGAGCTACACTAGCCAGCAGATATATATATATATATATATATATAGGATATATATATAGTAATACATATATATAGAAAGTTCAAACTTCAAATTTTAATATAAATTTGATATACCGCAGAAATGAAGTGGGCTTGGCCTCCATGACTTTCTTATGTTTAGCATTTCATTTATTGCACAGATAGGCTACAATAATATGAAAATTTATATTGAAATTTATATTGTTATTGTTTTCACTTATATTAATTACTCTTTGATTTAAATTTGAACTCGAATCACAAAACTGTTTATGCCATTTAAAGTTTCCACTGAAAAGTTCAACATTTTGGTGATATCCTTCGCAAAAACTGTGTTTGCCATTTGCAGCCACACAAAAGACTTTTTTTTCACATTCGATTCCACACATAATTTGACAAAATCTCAGAAAGATGTCATAGCATCTCATATCGGTTGATGCAAGCAAAGGGTTAAGAAATGAAGTAATTTAAGAAGCGTATTAAAGATCGTAACGGGTAACGAATCAGGAGCCAGAAAGTAAACACCAGTCACCTATATGGATAAGATTTGCTAGATAGAAGAAATAAGCATAACAAAAGTTGTGCGTACTCGGACTACTTCAAAAAAAATGGTGCATGTTTTCTTTTTTCGGAAAAACTGGTCATATAACGATTGTGTCGGTTGGTAAAAACTAAAACGCTTAATTCAAAATAGTACACAACCATTTGTTTGCCGGAATTAATGAGTTTTGATAAGAGGAAAATAAACAAACGTCTTCGGATCATTCGTGGTCGCTTACATTTCTTCCATTACAACCGACTATTTAAACTTTGAAAGAATCGAATTAATCGCTTATTCCCCGAGTTCAGTTATACCCAATTACCATTTGACACCCAATGACTTTTCTTTTGCAACCGCCCATCAAGAATGAATTGCGCGAACAGCGATTTCCATCACCCGATATATTCTGGATGTGATTTTTAAAGACAACTTACAGTTCTTTCATTACTAGATCTGCTTAAACGTTTACATGCATTGAAACGATCGTGATAGACATAACACCAAGGAAAGTGGGTGATCAAAGAATCCCTTAAGATCTATGCAGCTTTCTTGTTTCTTCTTAACAAATAACTTATAAATTTCGTCTCTTATGTGTATGTGCGTAAAAACCCATAAAATGAATGGGAAAAGCAGAGAAATTACTTACATCTTTGTATACCGTTGCCATTTGCAACTCAAACAAGAAGAAAGTATCCAAGAGAGAGACTGACCTAGGTATACAGTTCAAACATTTTTTAAAAGATGGTCCCACCACACTAACTAACTTTCGCCTAAATCGCAGATCTTTTACGTGTAAATGAATAGAGAAAAGTATCTTTAAATGTAATTGATAGACGTTTTGCAGTTGTTGTGTGTGCTCTTTTGCTGTTTTTATTATTTCTTTTCGTTTTTTTAAATTTCTTGCTTTCTTTCTTTTTTCTACATACATATTAATTTACTCACTTATTCATTGTGCACACAAAACGCTTGGCTGGACTATATATTGTATTATACTGTTCTGTACTGTTCTGTTCATTTTTTATCTCTTTCATTTATTGCTTATTGTTTTACTTTTACAGGATATCCACAACCCACATACCGTTGGTTAAAGAATGGTATACCCATTGGTGATTTTTCATCCAGTCAATATCTGCGCATACTGAATACACAACGGGAGGATGCCGGTAGTTATAAATGCATTGCCAAGAACGATGCCGGTTCAATATTTAGCGAAAAAATTGATGTTATCGTTGCTTGTAAGTATAACGTTTACTTTCACGATTGTTATGCTGCTGTTGCTCGCACGCCTTGTTGCATACATTTTCAAAAAAAAAAAAAATATTATTAATACACGTTAAAAACGTCAGCTATTATTACATATTAATGACGGCTAGCTGGTAAAGTTAAAAGAACTTCTTTTTTCATCGTTCTTCTTTTCCTAATTAAACAAGTAAGAAAATTAAATTCGGTCGTGACCGAAGCTTTTGTACCCATCACCGTTACTCTAAAAAGGACAAAAAATGTAAAACAACTCAATTTTCGTCCTCTATAAATATAAAGTGCACGCGGCTGACTGATTTTTACTATTTTTGAAGTTTGTAGTTTTTCTCGCACAGGCGTGTAAATGTTGTAGGCGTGTCGTTAAAAAGTTTAAGTCACTTTCAAAGTCTTTTGCAAATTTGGAGGTGATATCTTCATTTTCGCTAACGGAAAAATTTTTGCCCCAAATAGTACACATTTGCGCAGATAGGCATATAGACAGACGGACATGTTTAGGTGCACTCCAAATTTGAAACTGGCTAAAAATTTATATACTCTGTGGTGTTTTGGAGGCTTGTTTCTGCTCCTTAAATTTTGATATACTATAGTATTGAATAGGCATGGTAATTTTTTTTCATTTTGGTGCACGAATGCTACAGCATCGCCGAATCGAAACGAGTATGTGTTCAAATTTTTGTAAATTTATTTGCTGTAGTTTTTGAGTAATGCACAAAGAACCAGTTTTTCATTCCTCTTGAAAAGCAGAGATATTCTCAGTTTACATGACGTTGTGGGCGTGCCCCTCGACCGATTAAGCCCATTTTCAATACCAACTTATTTAGAGCAGACGGCCAGACGGGCTGGCAGACATTCTTAAATCGATTGAGAACTTGATGCTGATCAAGAGTGTCTATACTTTGTGGCGTCTCTGAAGAAGAAGAAGAAGATGAAACATAACTAAGAGGGTAAAAATTCGCATGCGGCCGATTTTTTTCGTCTTTGTGCAGGTATTTAAAGTCCGTTCATGGGATATACGTGAAAATACCAAATAGCGAACAAAAAATTCATTTTTCTCTTTTTTTCGATTTTGAAAACAGAATTCTGCTTAGTTGACTTTGTATTATAAGCGAGCTCTTTGGCCGATTTGGGACATTTTCTGTAACGATGTGCAAAAAGGAGTTTTTAATGCTTACGGCAAATACGAACCCTATATCTTCTTAATTTCGCAACCGGACATGCCGAACTTAGTATACTGATCAAGAGCATATATACTTTATAGGATCTTTGAAGCTTCCTTCTGACGATGTCTTTATATAATCAATATGTGCGCATCCTTCCGGTACGAGTGTAAAAATATTGACAAAAAAACTTATTGTAAATAGGGTATAAAATTTTAAATAAAATAAGACTTAAATTGCTTTTACTGTCACTTTCAACCATAAATCTTCTTTTATGTATTCTTCGGTAGGATCACTTTTGTTACACTTTATTAGGCTCTATTTTGATATTTGATTTATTAGGATTGATTCAGCTATCGTTACTTTCCTCATATTGACCTAAACACTTGTTAAGCTCTCAATTTCGGAGAACTCATTCGGCATTCGACAATCTTTGCCTAGCTTTGTACCTACCTCGCACGATTACTTATACGATTACTTACACCCTCGCACGATTACTTTTATATATGTCGTAGACATCATGCAACACAAATTTAAATGAAAACAGGTGCGTGCGGGATATTCCGCTATCTTGTTAAAAACATGTACGAAAACATTATAGTCGAGCAAAGCCGAGTTTCGAATATCTTATACCACTTCGTCGTATATATTTACTTTACTTACTTTTATAATAGAATACCAAAAATACTACATTGTTTTCATATATAAATGTACTTTCCATGAGATGCTTTATGCAGGCGAAAGCCCAAAACGTGCACTGATGTGTTCCAAATCTAGCAAACTTTATTTTCTTATCAAATGTCTTGTTATCGAATATCTTTCATGACAACTCACTCGTGGCGGCATTAGAACAAATGTAACACCAAAATCTTTTACGACATGACTTTATTAAATATCCATTGAGCTCGCAAACTATTTGTACCAAAGGCACATATAATAATTAATAATTTTTTTTAACTAATGACGAATCTCTCCATTAAATTCCCCCCATTCTCTAATTTGATGAGAGCAAGATTTTTTTTTTTAACTTTTTTAAAAATATGACAAAAATGACAAAATTTGAATTGAAATTTTATTAGAAATAAAATGAAGAAAAAACAAAAATTTACTTACCCTGATCTTCTTTCCTTATGTACCTAGTGGATATATAATGATCATAAATTTAATTAAAATTAATTGCTGTATGTATATACATATATATAACATATATATACATATATAACCTTACTTTATATATATATACATATATGTACATATCTGCTTTTTTTATACTATTTATACTACAATATATATTTACTTTATGTATATGAAGATATGTAGATAGATTTTATATATATATATATATATATATCTTTTATATATATGAAGGATGTAAAGGATAGATAATAAAGTCAAGTGCACTTATACGAAAGTGTAATAATCATTCATTTCAGAGGAAAGAGTTTTATAGACGCAAAAATTCATGACATTTATTAAGTGATACTTAATTAAAAACTTCGGAATCTTCGAGTGCAGCAGTTATATGTGTATTTGTAACTACATATACCAACAATTGCAGACAAAGAGTATTCATTACTTTTTTGCAAATTTTTTTTCAAGCTAACTTAAAAAAAAAGAAGAACGAAAAAAGAAAAAGTGCACTTGAATAGCTACTAAAAACTGTGCATCTACTCCCTCTCAAGTAGTTTCAGGTACTTAATGCATAAATAATCACAAGTCATTTGTTTAAATTTATCACACAATCTGTTCATACAGAATTCGATTTCATAGCATCAGCAACAGTATAACTTAACGGTATAATAAGATTGTCATTACGCTTTAAAGACATAGAAAAAAACCGCAGATAATATAAAAAATCTATGGCTTTTCAAGAAACAAAAAAGGAGCCGCGTTCACTATATTCACCTGTATCGTCAGGATTGCAAAGATTCATATAACACATTGCCCTATTGCTACTAGAAAGCTATACCCAGCACTACTATACTTACTAAACTATATTAGACTATAGAATTAATATTTTTACTAATTTTTAACAAAAAATTAAGACAGAAAAATGCTTATTTTCTTCTTAAGATCTCAAGGCTTCAAAAGACATTAAATACAACGCTCAGATTGACTTTTTCTCTTCTTAGAAAAAACTTTATCACAATTTTTAATATTGTACAATATCTTTGGAGTTTTACCACCAGCTTTTGTTACACGGTTTTCAAAATCATAAACATTTATAAATAAACTATAACAATATTTATTAGTTTGGAGAAAAAGAAATCCATTATTTTTATATGAACTTCAGGACTTTATTTAACATGCTTCGGATTGTCCGATTTGGGTCAAGTATGCACCGTTTTGTTGTATGATTTGTTGTCATTTTAAAGGTAACTTCAAAATGCCTCTCTCATAGAAGTCCTGGTCTCTATTTGCAAAAAACTCTAGTAGTCGATTTTCACAGCCCTTCCTAGATTCCAATTTTTTATCATTAAAGAAATTTTGCAATGCAAGAAAAAGATGATAATCGCTTGGTGCCAAGTCCGGACTGTATGGCGGATGCATTAAAACTTCCCAACCAAGCTCCCGAAGTTTCTGGCGAGTCACTGTAGATGTGTGTGGCCTAGCGTTGTCCTGATGGAACACGATACCTCTCCTGTTGGCCGATTCTGGCCGTTTATGGTCAATCGCTATCTTCAAACGGTCCAGTTGTTGACAGTAGAGATCAGAATTTAGCGTTTGGCCATATGGAAGCAACTCATAATAAATAATCCCCTTCCAGTCCCACCAAATGCATAGCAAAACCTTCCTGGCCGTTTGAGGTGCTTCACCGCTCTTTGACCACGATCGTTTTCGCACAGGGTTATCCTATGTGATCCATTTCTCATCTCCAGTCACCATCCGTTTAAGAAATGGGTCTATCTCATTCCGTTTGTCTAAGGCTTCGCAGATGGAAATTCGATCCATCATGTTTTTTTCTGTTAATTGGTGTGGCACCCAAACATCGAGCTTCTTTTTGAATCCAGCTTTGTGTAAATGGTTCAAAACTGTTTTATGGTCGATTTTTAGCTCCTGGGCGATGTTACGACTGCTAACATGCCGGTCAACTTCGATCATTTCTCCGATTTTATCGACATTTTCGACGACCGGCCTACCTGTGCGAGGTGCATCTTTAATATCAAAAATTCCTGAACGGAATCTACGAAACCAAAATTGCACATAATTGGCTGTTACAGTATCGGAACCATAAACACCATTCACAATTTTAGCCGCCTGGATTGCATTTTCGCCTTTGTCTAAGAAAAACTGTAAAATGTACCGAATTTTCTCTTTGTTCACTTCCATTTTTAACACGGTGTAACTCACAACTGAATGCACCAAACAAAAAACAGCAAAAGAATTTTTTTTACTGCGAAATGTACAGTATGTAAATGTACAGTATCGGAAATTGTTTGATCGATACTTTACGAGAAATCTATCAGTGCAGCCATCTACCGAAAAAATAATGGATTTCTTTTTCCCCAAACTAATATATTACATGCTTGCATTTGTAAAAGACATTTATTGAGGAAAATTAGTGCAACATACATTAATCATAAAATTTTCCATAATTTTCTAAAACGTTGGCCCATCTTTCGGACAGCGTGGCGATAACGTGTCGAAAGCACGATATTGTTTTGACAGGGATTCAATCATCGGCAAATGATTTCGCACTTCTTCGGCATTTCAAACCCATATGCCAGCCAAGTTATGCTGCATCGATCTGGACAAGTGGTAATTAGGAGGCGCTACCTCTATTGAGTACTTTGGATGCGCCATAATTTCCCAGGTTGAGCTTGACAACTCTTGCAAGGTATGGCCGACCGTTGTCATCCGAAATGATGACATTACGTCTCTTAACCGCTATTGTTCATCCTTTTTGCAATAATACATCGGTCAATTTGTTCAAATGACGTCGGTGGACAACTGCAGTAACAGTTTTATTCGGTTTTAGGAGATCGTAATACACTACACTTTGTTGGTCCCATCATACGAATAGCAAAATTTTAATGTCATAAATATTTGGTTTCGGCGTCAATGTGAATGGCTCTCTTCTACTAAGCAATAACTGTTCGAAAGTTTTTTTAGAGTTTAAACGGTTTTCATCCAATAAGTTTTGCTATTCATTGTCTTCGAGCTTTATTTGACTTCCGGGGCGTTTCTTTGCAATTGACATGAAAATGTCACCATTTTTAACCAGTTGGAACCAAAACGGACAGTTGAGACATGATACAGCAGCATCCACCATAAACTGCATAATGGTTCGGTGGGCTACGACAGCAGATTTCTTCAAATTAAACAACAAAAGTAATGGATGTACCGGAAATGCAAATTCAAGCATTCCATGATTAGCGTGGGCGTACGTTGAATAACTCAATAATATTAAATGGAAAACAGTTATTTTAGTAGAGAAAGGTCAAAATCATCGAATTTAATTATTGTGTAAGGTGGCATTTTTCGTTACTTTATAAATTTGACCTGTACAAGTCGCCTATCAAAATATATATGCAACTACCTAATACATACATATTAGATTTATCGTTCGTATGCAATACCTATATTATCACATATACGTTGGATGGATTTTCTGTAATTTATTTGTACTCTTGATTAACGAAAATTGCGCAATCTATTTGCTTACCGTTATCTGTCTGTCTGTCTGTCTGTCTTTTGAATGGACGACTCCATCTTGCCAGTCTTCTCTGAAATAGTTATCGTAATCATAAAATCCTTTTAATTATAAAAATCAATTTGCAATCGGAAATGTCAGTTACCATGAAAACGCCTGGTGAAAATGAGAACTTATTGTTATGTACTTAATAACAGCCTTTCTTTTATGTAATTGCAAGATTGGCCCGTTATGGCTCCAATTATGTTACGCCCAGACACGTTAATCTATGGATTTATTACGTTTTAATCTAAAATAGGCGTCGATTTGATATTCAACTTTCTATTATTGTTATTGCGTAAAAATCTTTCAAAGCATAAACCAACTATCAAATATGAATGGAAGGATTAAGTATACTGTGAAAAATGCGTGTCAGTGCTTACGTTTAGAAGTATGTGATAATATTACTTACTAACGATAAGTGCTTTTATGTAATATATGTGAAGCATAATGTTGTGCCGATAGGCACATAATCTCACCTGACCAGAATGTATAATTTATTTATTGCTTTAAAAATGCATTCTTAAAACATATCTGCAATAAATATCAATCGGTGAAGGACGCAACAAAAAGGTTTAGTTTTCTACTTGAAAATGTACTATAGACTAACTTATAAACTAAAGAGTGACAGATGAAGATTGACGTGATATATAAGTCATTGGAATGTAGTTTAATGTCTTTAAAAAAAAAAAAAAAAGTTAACTGAAATACAAACTAAGGAGTGGAAAACAAAAGTCGATATGTCGATAGATAAATGTTCGTAGCAGTAAAGAGTACACACATAAGTCGTTTAAACGCAGTTAACCCAGTTTATTATATGAATCGATGCCTACGTTTTCCCTTTGTGCGTTCATTTATATTGCATTTTAATTGATTGCACACAATTCCTGTATTCATGGTTAATTATTGCCTGTTTGTACATTATATATGCATATGTATTGTATATATAATTATTTACCTATATACTTATGTATATACATGTGTAAGTCGTACATAAACAATGCGTGCACACACAAATATTCCGCGTACACAAGCATATAATTTTTTAATGTTTCTCTCTCTCCTTCTCTAGATATGGGTATTTTCAATAATAACTCTGAAGGTCGTTTAACAGTTACTTCTGGCCATCCGGTCATATTCGAAATGCCTGCTATCGATTCAGCGCCCGCACCCTCAGTAATGTGGCAAACTAAAGAGGGTCCTCTTAATTATGATATTAAATATGCTTTTACGAAAACGAATCAATTGATAATACTTAGCGCTGATGAAGTTGACCGTAAGGCATATCGTGCACGTGCCATAAATACCCAATTGGGTAAAGAGGAAAACAGTGCCTTTATATACTTGAACGTTACCGGAGATCCTTACGTGGAGGTGCCGCCGGAAATAATTATATTTCCGGAGAATATGAAATTGAGACGAGGCGAACAGGTAGCTGTACTGCAATGCATTGCGAATGCCCGTCCGTTGCATGAATTAGAAACTATTTGGCTTAAGGACGGTATACCAATTGAAAATGCTGAAATTGCTCATACGCTTAATGATCCATGGAATCGGTCTTTGGCTTTATTATCTGTAAATCTAACACATTCCGGGGAGTATACATGTCAGGTGCGTTTGCGTAGCGGTGGTTATAAAGTTATAAGTTCATCAGCAAAACTTGAAATTCTTGAACCACCATCATTTTTTACGCTAATGCGCCAAGAGACTTATGGTGAATTGGGTGCATTAGTAACATTGCCTTGTGATGTAGTTGGGGAACCTCAGCCGTATGTTACTTGGTTCAAAAACAGTGAATTAATTGATGCAAACAATGAAAAGTAAGTACAAATGAAACGAACAAAGACGACCGAAGACGAACGATTGCAATTCTTTGTATTATTTATTATTATTACTTTTTTTTCTTTTTTTTTTTTTCTCTTATTAATATTATTTATCATTTTTATTTTATAGATATTCGCTTAGTGAAGACAATTCCTTGCAAATAAAAAAACTGTCACCGCAAGATTCGTCAATGTTTCAATGTTTGGCTGTTAATGAAGCTGGTGAGAAATCAGCTTACACATGGTTGCGCGTAAAAAGTAAGTTCAATTATTTATTTATTAATTTTTTTTTTAAAAGTCCTTGCATTCAATTAAAGAACAATTTAATATTAATTTTAAATTTAATTTACATTGCAAAATAGAAAAAAAAAGAAGAAAAAAAAGAAAAGAAAATTCTCAAAATCACAATGTGGATATTGGTTTACAAGATTCTATTAGTAATTGGTTCTCTAGCCCTACTACTACCCCTACTACTACTACTACTACTACTACTACTACTACAAACTACTATTGTGATTACTATACTATTATTGCTACTATCACTTCCTTTACTGTTACTATTCTAACTCATATTGCAGCTACTAATTATGAATTTAAAAATCATGATACATTTAACAACACATACCATAACGTTAAGCTAGCATCTAAACGAAATGGAATAACTGAACAATATGTGATAGATAACGTAATTAATACGAGCAAGGATCATGATATGAATGAAGTTAACGCCGTGAAATTGTCGTACGTTAGCAATCTCTTACATCGCGTTAAACGGATGGCTCAACCGCGTATATTACGCGCTAAAACCTCACATGCTGGCATAGGTTCAGGATATAATAGACGCAAGGATATACGCTTTGGTAATATGTCTAAACGATTAAAATTTGCACCAAATAATTTGCATAGCACGTTGAATTGTATTATATTTTTTTTTTTTGTTTTTTATTTTTTTGGTATTTTGTTGTCCCGGCATTTTAAGCTCGTCATCGTTTGTTTGTTTTTTTTTTTTTTTTTTTTTTTTAATATCAAAAGCACGAGTTTGAAACAATACCGCAGATAGAGTGGCTTATAGTAACATATATTATGAATGATGCTAATTGTTATGTATATTCTTTCTTTTTTTCTGATATTGATGAGCTCTTTCCTTTCCTTTTAGTAATATTTTATATTTAATATTTAATATGAATTTTAATTTTTAAGCTGCTTAGTAGAGGAAAAGCTTAAATCCAAACAAAGGTTAATGATTGGTATAAAAATATTCTGCTTAGTTAATTTCATATATGCATATTATGTACTTTTCATATGTAATTATTCTTTAAACAGTCGCCTTCTAACTCATTTAGTTGTCAATTACTTAAGATTTTTTAAGTTTAAATTACGGCACCCTTTCTACACACTACGGCTCCAAACAGTATATAATGGTTATCGTAACGTTGCAATATATGGTTATATCATCCTCATAATACGCGTAATTGGAAGACACTGATCAATACCTTGCACGACGAATATTGGCTTTTTGACTCTAACATAACTGAGTTCAAAATAGCCATAACGCCCAAAGATTTAACACCAATTTTATAATAATAACAATGCGACCGTATTCGGTCGCATAATACTAGTAAAATCTGATTAATGTATAATAAAATAGACAAACGAATATAGGAACGAGTTGTAAGGCGGACGTACAGAAATGACTCAAATTGTTATGCTCGCCAAGAGCAAAGAATATACATATGCGTATACTTTTTGCAGTCTTTGACGTGTAAATCTTCTGGTATCACAATAAAAACGACTAACTAGCTATATCCGGTCGTTCGCTAATGAGTGTAAAAATTACTAAAAAAAAGCTATTTAATCAAGTTATAAAATCGCATGGGTCAGTAATTCTCGCTAGTGACACATAAATGTCGTCTTTAACATTTGATGTCATTTCAATCACTTGTTTGTAATTGGCGACATTGCGTTGGTTATTTCCAACTATTTGGGAAAACCCGAACGTCGGGAGTTTATTAAATATTGATCTTTATTGGGTTCAAAAATACAGTTCGAAGCCAGTGCTGGCAACTGCTGCTGAAGCAGTTTTATAGAAAATCTTCTTTGTTGAAAACAACAATTTGACGGTAGTTTACTCACCATGAACGAACAGGGTAATCAAATAAAAAAAAAATCCATTTGTCTCTCTTTCGTTTTTTCTTTCTTCGCCCCTTTTCAACGTTGCCTCTAATCACTGTATTTATACAATAATTGATTGAATTGTTATATATTTAAGAGAAGGATAAAAGGAAACTTATTCGCATGATAATTGTACAGTTAATCATAAGCAACTCATAAAAGTTCATTTAAATGCGCATATTATATGATGACACTGTCAACTATCAGTAAACTTTGCAATCCGCACATCGCATACGTTTACATATTTATGCACTAGAGCAAAAAGCACATTGGCTCTTGGCTCTTCCGACCAATAATAAAGTTTGTATTAAACAAAAGAACAAAGACACACGTTAGACTTTATCTAGTTTTTTTGGCAAACTTTGGGAAACCACAAACAACAGTAAACTAACGTTCTCGTAGGTGGAATCTTTCATTCCCTTGCAAAATCAACTATTGTTTTTTTTCGCCAAAAAATATGTATAAGTGTAGAAAAACTTGCGAAGATTAAATGAGAACAAGGACGAGATAGCTAATGATTTTCTTTTATTCACTTTTAAGTGACATACTTATAAGTAACTTATAAGCAACTTTATTAACTCACCTGCGCTTTTAATGCACAGCAAATCCCAAAATTTCAAATCTGATTAATATATTATGATTTATGTGATGAGCCTGGGCAAATGTGAGTCTGTCTTCATTGAAATACGTTTTCGAAGCGACTGTGCCGTACCCTCTTCTTCTGCTTCTTAAATAAATGAAAATTTGCCTTTATTTAAAAGGATTTTTTGGTTAAAAAACACACTTCTATTTTATACCAACAGCAGCAGGATGCAGCAAGTTGCAACTCAGTCAAAACATTATCGTATTTCGAAGCTAACTACAAAAAAAGATAAAAATCATTCACAAGAATGAAAGTAATGTCTATAGCCTAGATGAGTTACGGGTCATTATTTGAAACGAATGATAAGCAGAAAGGAACACATATACCGAATACAACAGGTTGCGTTCTTAGATCCATTTATGGGTTGCACAAACTGTGAGCGCGTGTTTTTTTTTTTTTTTTTTTGAACGTGACGGTTACTTTTATCAGTCCTAGCTATAGTTCGTCCGTAGTTACAGTGCGAAATTTAACTACATTTCCACAAGTCTTTCTAACGATTTTAACCGATTTAATCGAAATTTAAGAAAAATATGTTAAAAATATGTTATAATCATATTTTTACAAACCTTATTTACATGGCAGGCGCATGTACGAGAATGTTATGTTGCATGTGCCATCTGCATACAAACATAAATGTATAATGGACAATTTAATAACAATTTTATTTATAACGCTGAGTAAAACAAGCAGTGTAAAATGAAGTGAAGAACATAGGACAAGTTGTGAACGACGAAACAATCTCTTAATGCCATTTTAACAATAATATACATTGTACATTGTATACGATTTAAATGAAGATATAAATGTTAAACGCCTTTAAATTCTATAAAATGTAAATAAACAAAATTTATATATGAAAAACGCTAAACTGATTGAAAAAGTATTTCGGTCATTGTATTATAATACAAGGGCCGGTCGGTGTAGTCAATTCAATCAAAACGAGCTTGAAAATATTATTCTGAGTTTGCTCAAGAACTCTGACTTACTTGGAAGAAACAAAACAAACAGGTAAAAAAGTTATATTCGCATCTCATACACCGCAAGACCTTACGTAATAAACGTCTACCATAATTAAATTATAATTAACACACTTTATCGCATTCCATTCTCCAACTACCTGCATTTGATACCTATGTTGAACGTTCATTTAAGAAAACTTTTACCCAACAAATCGTGATATCTAACACAATAAGTTTAGGATTAACGCACATAGCTTTTCGGATTCTATCCTTTAAGTTTTTCTATTTGATATCCACATCGCTGGTATTATTAAGAAAACATTAAGCCACCAGGCGGCGGTGTCTAGCATATTCATTTTTAGGCAGATAGGTAGACCTTCACTTAAGGCATTTACAAAATACTTCCAAACATTCTGTCTTGTTTGACTGAAGATTTCAATCTTCTCATTTTTATAATTTCCGGACAAAACGAGCAAAAATCGACAAATTTTTGTTAAGAAAAACGGAATTGCGTTCAGTTTACGCTCCGCTGCCGGCTTCTGCTGTGACAAATTTGGCCCATTTTCAATGTATCAAATTTAAAGCCGATATCTTCATTTTTGCGATCAGGAGTGCGCCAACACTGCACAAGCACCGCACAAAAACGCAGACGGATAGACATGACTTGATCAATTCAGAACTTCACGCTATTCAATAATATATAAAACTTCATAGAGTCTCATGCATCAAGCACATCGGTTCCTTGATTTTTGCAGGAAGATTATTTAAAAATATCGTAAACAGAAGTGTGCCAAGGTGACCACCACCCTGAGATGGTCAGATGAAATCTTAATTAGCCTTTAATAACATGTATTAAACAAAACTCTTTGTGCACGGTCCGATAGTTAGTTACGAAGCCGGCGTACCATTGTATCAGAAAATCCAAGTCTTCTTTAAATATTTTAAAAATTATAAAAATAAACATTTCAAAATATATACAAAAAGTGGTTCTGTGTACGACTATTTTAAATAGTCTACTGCTAGGTAGAGGTTTAATTGCCGCACCCGCTTAAGTTATTACGCGTAGCTATAAAAAATGAAATCTTCGCTGCTTATTAACCCCAAAATATTTTTACGGGAAAAAATCTCCATATATCCGTCGGTTAATTTCTCGCGATGGCTCTAATTCCTCTGCCGACCTTTCGTAATTTCAGCGTAATTTTTATACTGCCAGTTACAATTCTGCTTATAACTGCGCTTATCAAATCATTAAGTCTACTTCAGTTCCTAATTCGGTCATTTCTGGTTATGACGTACGGCAAGGGTTAAGACCACTAAAGTATACATGCGCGTAAGGGCCTAACGTGATCCCGTCATTTATTTGCAAATCATATGCTGATGACCTTAATCGTTTTACGAACAATGATGTTTGCTCGTTGCGTCGCATTGAAAGACTAACTTCCTTATTCCATTGCACGATTGTGGAAATAGATATCTCGTGGTCA